GTATATTATGTACATAGACACTATACATACTCATTTGCATAAAATAAGGGCACATTTGAATATCTGTATGTAAATTGAAGCTTCATCAATAAAAATCATACTAAGATGAATTGAGTAGATGTTTAATGCTTGCCAGATAACAGTAACAAAAACTTATAATACAACATAAGAATTACAAACTTATGTAACTGTATGTGAAAGAAAACCAATCTTGTAAAATTACTGTACAATTAAGGCACCACACAGCCTACGGAATTCATACCATTTCAAAGCAAAAAGCAACCCATGCAGGAAAAAAGATATTTCAGAAATTGGAACTATGAGAAAGCAGCTTTCTATTCAGTCCTTGTTTCATTTAAAAGTTTACGTAATCTGATGTAAGATGGAAGAAATGGAAAATATTTGCAAAAAATGTGGTTAAAGAGTGAGACAATATGAAAATTCTCATACTGTTGGTGTTAATTCTAAAAATAATCTATCATACAGAACAATAATCTTGTTGAATGTGAACATTTCCAGGCTCAGCTGCACACCATGATCACATTCTTGGGGGAGGCAGGCAAAAAGTGAACATACATTTATGACTTCAATTAAGAAGCATGTGTTAATACGCATGCTAAGTGACTTTATTCCATATGAAATTTTAAACTATTTTCTATTTTTTTTTCTCAAAAACCAAAGGCTAACTTTACAGGGACCACTACAAGACTCTGGATCGGTGAAACAAAACCTGCGAAGCCCCATGTACTTTTCCAATGAGGAGTTTCTATTCTACAAAAATAGTAGGGTTGCAACGTTCTGCTTCTGTATGTACACATACAGCAATTACGCAGAAATAAATGAAGTCTTGGAAGACTAGAAGCCTTCCATGGCAATGTGGACATTTTGAGTTCACTGTTCTAAAACCAAAAAGACTTGAAAAAAAAAATCATTGCTCAGAAACTTGAAAGGTTGAGTCCTTCTTAGAAATCAGCAATTACTGTACACAGACTCAAAAATAGGAATTTATGTCATCAACATTTAAAATTGATATTTTTCAAGAACTATGGCAACTGCCATGTTTTTAAATTTACTTTTAAAAAATGAAAATGTTGGGCCTGGCTTGAGGGCCTAGAGGCTAAATCCTTAGCTTGCATTAACCAGGATCCCACACGGTGCCAGTTCGTGTCCGGGCTGCTCCATTTCCCATCCAGCATCCTGCTTTTAGCAGTAGAGGGTGGCTTAAACACTTGGGACCCTGCATCCATATGAGAAACTTGGAAGAAGCTCTTGGCTCCTTGGCTATGGAGAGGCTTGGCTCTGATCGTTGCTACCACTTGGGGATGGAACCAGCGAATGGAAGATCTTTGTCACTCCTCTCTGTAAATCTATCTTTCCAATAAAAATAAACACATCTTTTAAAAAAATGAAAATGTCAGGGCTGGTGCTGTCGTAGCATAGGTAAAGCGCCAGCATCCACAGAGGTGATGGAGTCCTAGGTGCTCCACTTCCAATCTAGCTCCCTGCTAATGTGCCTGGTGCCTGTGAAAGCAGCACAGCATGGCTCAAGTGCTTGGGTGACCTGGAAGAAGGTCTTGGTTTTGGAACACAGCAGTCTCAGACACTGCGGACATTTGAGAAGTGATCCAATAAACAGAACATCTCTCCCTCAATAACAATGCCCTTTAAATAAATACTCATTTTTTTAAAATGAGTGAAAATGTCAGTACCTTTTATTACTAAACTAGATGAATTGATTACTGAGTGGTAGGTCCTGCTTGTCTCAGTACTTGGGACTCTACACAGAACTCAAAACATTAGATGCATGTACAGGAGATCACAAATGTATGTCCATTTCTTTCACGTCTCAGAAAGCCCACTGCTATTCGACGGGATGATATAAACTCGGATGAGAAAATACTAGTCTCTGCTATAGACCGTATACTACCACTTCACACGCCTAGCTAGCACGTGGAAGGGCAAGAAAGAGGTTATTCGTATTCACATGTCTCTTTCCTTGTACTCAAATGGATAAATGAAACACTTTCTGTCATGGGTAGATAGAATTTCTGAAAAATGAGGTTGCAAGTGAAAAGGAAAGGCGGTAACGGAAGGCTGGAAACTAATAGTCAAAACTTTCTACAACGTAAGGTCTCTGCATCTGCTGTTCTCATCCCTACATGTGCTCGCTCCTTGTCTGCCTAAAATCTCCAATTAATCCTTAAATTCTGAGCTGAAGATTAACTTTCTCAGTGAAGCTGTTCTTTATCAATCCTCCACTCCCTGCTCTCTAGTGGTCTCCAAAGATTTGCAGAGTTCCTTCATCATTTTTACCATTACTGCAGTTAAGTAATCACTTGGTTAACAGTGTTTTCCAGCCCTATACTCCCATGAAGGCATGATCACGGTCTGCTTTACTGCTGTTTCCCCAGTGCTAATTACTGACAAGAAAACAGGTCATTAAAAGGAATATAACTGTGCAATTTGCACAAATGAATAAAATTGGCCCATTTTGCACAAAATCATGACTACAACTGGCATGATTCTTTGAGAATGTAACAATTGAAGTAAACTTAATGAAGCCATAGTGTTCACGATTTCATTTCCTAAATATTTTAGATAGCTCGGCTAGAGACATACAATGATATTCCTTAAAAACATTCATGGAATCCATTATGCAGCCGAGTTTCCTGGACGGAAACAAACTAAATCTCAACCAAAGCCAACCAGCCTTCAACTAAATGGGTCATTGCAAGAAATGATGACCGATAGGCCATCCAGAAGTAATCAATTCAACCAGTGCTCTTTTGAATATAGGTTAGCCAATGCTCTTTAGTACAAATAACACAAATTTCTGATGGATGGGACAGGACATGCAAAAAGTAAGACTTCAGGAGACAGCTAGGAAATGAGGAATTCTCAAAACAGTTACAACTTTACAAAGTATTACTTATCCTGAAGCTCCACATTAAGGTAGATACTCCGGAAGCTAAAACTCATCTGAAATAGCAACACAGCTGTTTGAAATCTGGCACTGAAGTTTATACTTCTGGAATAAACTGACTCTCATATCTGAAATGACTGTCAATTGTAAGGGTGACATTCAGATTTCTATGGAAGAAAAAGCTCCACAGTTTAAGTGCCTGACCTAAAAACCTTTTATTTTTCCCCCAGAAATCTTCAAATTGACAAATAACAAGGAGAGAAAGGGGAAAAAAAACAGAAATAATTTAATATGATACAGACTGAGAAAATTATGGAGAATAAGAAGCAAAGTACAGACTTAGTTTCACTCTCTCAGCTATCAACCCAAGATTTTTCAGAAGTATAACTGAAGGGATGGTAATCCCTTATCATACCATTGCTTGCCCTCGAGACTACCCTGTTGGGGGTGGGTGGAGAATATATGACTGTGTGTGTACAGTGATGGAAGGGCAAAATTACCACTGTGGGCCACTATTAGACTCAGCCAATGGGGACACATGAGTTTCGGAGTTGAAACGACAGACCAGATGCTGCCTAGCTAGCATGGGAGAGAATTCCAATCCTGAGTATCCTTTCTGCAACATGGTATTGTCTTATTTTCACTTGTTCCCTCAAAACTACATCCTTTACAGAGACATTTATGTGAAAGGTAGAGCAACTCAGGGAAAGAAAAAGAGAATCATTCATCCACACAGGTTTATTCCTCAAACGGCCACAATAGCCATGCCTTGTCTACATAATGTTTCTAGGGTATTTTTCCCTGTTGTTTTCTTTTTTTTATAGATGAGTTTTCATTCTTTTTGAGGGATTCTACTAGCCTCTGTACCTTATTCTCCAGTTTATTTTTTTTTAAGACTTGTTTGTTTTTACTGGAAAGGCAAATATGCAGAAGAGGTAAGACAGAGAGGAAGATCTTGTGTCCGATAATTTACTTCCAAAGTGGCCACAACAGCCAAAGCTGAGCCAATCTTAAGCCTGGATCCTGGAGCTTCTTCCAGATCTCCCACACAGGTTCAGGGTCCCAAGGCATTGGGCTGTACTCAACTGCTTTCCCAGGCCACAAGCATGTAGCTAGAAGGGAAGCGGGGCTGCCGGGATTAGAATCAGCACTCATATTGGATCCCAGTACATGCAAGGTGAGGACTTTAGCTGCTAGGCTACTGTACCACGCCCTATTTTGCAGTTTATAAACTGAAGGAATTCAAATTCTTTTCACATAGAGCAATACTCTCTTCCATCACCTTCTAAGACTTTTAAAATAAAAGACATGCAGTGCTCATCTCCAACCCACCACATGGGGAGAAGTAGCTTGCTCTGCCTTCAGTCATTCTCAGTACTCAACATTCTCATACTTAAAAGGGTAGTAATAATTCTCACTTTTGAAAACACAAATTGAATTAAAAGCTAATTCCTAACTCTAAATGGTCAATTTATTTAATATCAAAATAATTTTCTACTTTAAGTGATTGTTTTGATATATCCTTGTATAGCAATACTTCTTAACCTTTCTCATTCTTGACTCCGTAAGAGCCGAGGGCAACAAGCACACGTTACAGAGGCCACAGGATGCCACGGGGCTCATGTTGGTCCTGCGTCTTTCAGGGCCTCAGCAAACTGGCCATTCTTCACGACCTGCTCAGGCCAATTCCTGGAGCAAGGTCAATTCCGGATTCCATTCCACTTAGTAGCATTCCTTTAAATTTTCTCCCCTTTAGATCCTAAACACTAACAAGTTAGAAAAATAAAACTTCAAACTCTTACTTTCATTTAGAGGTGTTATAGTTTGTAGTCCAGTCTTAAAACAAACCAAAAACAGTATTTCCTTTGCTATGGAAAAGAAATTATAGATTTTTTTATAAAAATACACTTTCAATTTCTGGAATTCTGAACTGGATGAAAATTTATCAAATTTATGTATGTGTTATTAACAGCTTACCCACTGTGCTATAGCCCAATATAAGTTAATAGACACTCAAAAAATTTCATTTATTTGTTACAGACTGCAAAATGTAAGTCAGTGTAAACAGGGAAATTACCTTGTTTATCTACAAGCGAGTAGGAGGCTAGAAATCCTCGTCCAGAAACATGGATCCCACTCATGAACAGCACTGTAATCTCATTGCTTTTTGATTCAATTGAATGGTTCATCTGCAATCCCAGACCACAGTATTTGCCTTGGAACAAAAGACAAACAGATACGCAGTATGACTCTCACCAAGTCAATAATATTTGCAACACAGATAACAAAATTAGAATGGTACACCATACTGGATATTGGATTAGTACGAAATAATGGGTAGAATGTTTAATGATTTGAAATCATATTATTCTGGAGAAAGGAAAAAAAAACAAATGCTAAGCAATAGCAATTCAATTGATTCACACGGAAAACAACAGTAGAGGTATCACTGCACTTAAAAAGACTCAATTTTCTGAGAACCAAATATACAGTTTTTAAAAGAATCAAAAAAAAAAAAACTTCGCGCATTTCACATAGACAGGAAGAAGTCTATTGCTTTCTTTACAAGCCTTTACCAGGACACCCCTAGACTTTGCACTTTAGTATACACCTCAAACACTTTTTTCAATTCTAATCAGTTCCTTTTGGTAAATATAGTACCTGACAACACAACCTTCCATACACAGCTTTTTCTTTGAATTTCACTTACGTGTATAAGGGTACTTCAAAATGTCCATGGAAAAATAGGATTAAAAGATGTCATGGCCCAGCGAGGTAGCCTAGTGGCTGAAGTCCTCGCTTTGCATGCCTGGGATCCCCATATGGGTGCTGGTTCTTGTCTTGGCCGCTCCAGTTTCCATCTACTTCCTTGCTTGTGGCCTCAGAAAGCAGTTGGGAATAGCCCAAGGCCTTTTGACTGCATTCGCATGGAAGACCTGGAAGAAGACCTTCGCTCCTAGCTCCTGGCTTTGGATCAGCTCAGTTCCAGCCATTGCATCCACTTAGGGCAGGAATCAGTGGATGCAAGATCTTTCTGTGTCTCTTTTTCTCTACTAATCTGCCTTTGCAATAAAAATAAATCTTAAAAAAACATGTTATCATAGGGGCTGGCACTGTGACACAGCTAATGAAGCCACTGCTTGCAATGCCAGCATCTGTTCATATATTAGAGTTATCTGAGTCCAGATGGCTCCACTTCTGATCCAGCTCCTTGCTAACATGTCTGGAAAGGCAGTGGAGAATGGCCAAAGTACTTGGGCCCTTGCACCCAAGTGGGAGACCCAAATGGATTTCTGGGTTCTTAGTTTCAGTCTGGACAAGCCCTAGTCACAGCAGCCATTGAATAAACAGATAAGCAGGCAGGATTTCCCCATCTCTCCCTCCTGTGTCTTTCCAACAATAAGTAAATCTTTAAGAAAGAAAACAAGCATTCCCCATGAACTTTCTGAACTACCCCCAAATGTTTATGAATCTAACAGTCTTCAATGTGTTAACATGTAAAGTTACATATTCTCAGCATAGATCTAAGTATACTAAGATAAAAGAATGATTAATAAAAGTATCACACTCCAATTGGTAAAAAATAAATTTTCCTATGGACCTGTTAACTTGTCTAACAAATTCAGAGTAAACAGTTCCAAAGATTTTAACTTGCAGCAGTGCTACTTTCACACAAATAACAGTAATATAACCGTTTATAAATACCATTTTCAAGGATGATATTTGATCTTCTCAGTAGAAAATCCTAAGGAATCAATGAAAACCAGAACTAGTATATAAACTTAGCAAAGTCACAGAACCAATATACAAAAATCAGTTATATTTTCAGATGTTAGCATCAACCTGACATAGTTTTTAAAACTAATAACAGTGGAAAATATTTAGGAATACATTTTTACAAATAAGTTTAAAAATCAGTTCATTGGAAAATATAAACCACTACTGAGGAAAAGTAATAATGCAACAGGTAAGTAGATACAACCAAGTTAGTGAAAGGGAAGGCTCAATACTGTTCAGATGTCAATCCTGCCAACACGGATATACTAATTCAAAGCAATCCCCATAAAATTCCCAGTGTGCTTTTTAATAAAAAGAAATTCATGAGCTGATCTTACATTTTACATGGGAATGCAAAGAAAAGGCACAATCAGTAAAGAAGAAAACTGAAGGATTTCTATGACCTGCTTTTTAAATGTACTATAAAACTACAGTAATTAAAATAGTATGATATATTGTAAGGAATATAAAAAACACATATCTATCAATATTTATCAATCTATCCAGAACAGAAGACAGTCCAAATAAACATGATATATGGATATGGTATATAGATATGGAAATGGTAAATTGAATTCTGACAAATATTCAAAGCAACTCAACAGAAAAAGATGGCTCCTTCAGCAAAAGCACCAAACCAGCTGTAAATAAATACAGAAAAACAAAATGAACTGGAAACTATTTCATAATACAAGCCATTGCATACTGCGGGCCTAATTCTAAGCGCTCAATATACAGTTTCAAAAGCAAACAAAAATGGAAAAAGCTTTGGATTCTAGCATTAGGAGCGATTTCTTTGTAAAACATCTAATAAAGGAAAGGAATCTAGAATATATAAAGATCTCTGATAAAATTAATACTTTAATGGGAATATGATTTGAACAGGTAAGGCAAACTAATGGCAAGTAAACACATAAAGAATGACAAGAAGGTTCGTTTTTAGGGAAACAAGTATTAAAACTACAGCAAGATACCACAACATATGATTAGAATTGTTATAACAAAAATTAACAATAAATATCAAATGACTGGTGATGCCACATTCTCTGAGTTGCATTTACAGAACCATGCTGTTTTCCAAAAGTTATACCAAATTGTTATGACTATAGTTAACCTTGTGTCAGTCTTTAATTCAAATAAACCATTTAGTCCAGGATCATTTTACAATCTGTAAAAACTCTTGAGACAACGGATTAAGAAGTACAGCAAATTACCCTATTGAATTTTATAATATACAGAGAAACACTGAACGTTTTAGGGGTGCCTCTGCTTAGCAATTTCCATCTGATAAATGCAAATACTGTATGCATCTTAAGCTTGTAGATACCATGAAATGAGAGTATATGTGTCTGCACATACACACAAACTTGATATTGTTCATTTGCCTGTTCCTTCATCACACTCTCCACCTAAGTTTAGCACACGCTGCTAACAAACTGCTCAACAGGCTGAACCAAGGATTTCTCCAGCTCCAGGAATAGTAGGGATAAAAGAAGCTAGTAACTTGTTATCTTCCAGGCTAAATACAAAGCTGACCTTTGTCCATGATTCATGATTCATGATTCGGGACTTCCACTTTCCGCTCCTACCTATGTCCCCTGTAACAATGGTACAGCCCTTTAGTAAGTGCTATAAGTATAACATTCTACTATTTAAGTTCATCACGGCATAAGTATAGACAAAGGAAGAACGTCTAGTATCATATTATTGTGATATATTTGAGTGTCTCACTAGGCAATCTCCTTTTATTACAGAGTAAAGATGCAGACTGCGACGTGTCCTCACTTCCCAGTATGCTCATCTCCGTTACACAGTTCATCTGTGAGACTACATGATTTTACAGGTCTCCCTATATGTCTATTAATCCTGTATTTTGCAGGAAGGTTGCCTTACGTCAGAGAGAATATGTATTTGTCTTTGGGATTTACTTTTGTCACTGAGCATAACGGTCTCCAGTTGGGACCATTTTGTTGTAAAAGATAGAATTCCATTCTTTTTAATGGGCGAGTAGTATTTCCTGGAGATGTGCCATGCTCTCTTTGTTCATTCCTCTTTCAACAGACATCTGTTTCCATGCCTTTGATAATGCATAGTGTGGGATAGCTGGGTCCTATGGTACATTTTCAAACATGCCCACTCATTTCCTTTGTCGTTTCTTCACAGTGTTGTTTATATTGCTGTCATTGAATTTCCGAAGATCTTTTTAAATCCTAGATACTAGTTCTCTGTTGTGCAATGTGCAAAGATTTTTTTCCAATTTTGTTGGTTGCTTCACTTTGTTGATAATTTTCTTTGCTGTACAGAAATTTTTTTTATTTTGGCTTGATTTGTTGGGCTTTTGGTGAATTTTCTTTTTTTTAAAGATTTATTTATTTTTATTGGAAAGTGATATATACAGAGTGGAGGAGAGACAGAAAGGCAGATCTTCTGTCCATTGATTCACTCCCCAAATGACTGCAAAGGCCAGAGCTGTGCTGATGCGAAGGTAGGAGCCAAGAGCTTCTTTCGGATCTCCCCTGATTGCAGGGTCCCAAGGCTTCGGGCCATGCTTGACTGCTTTCCCAGGCCACAAGCAGGGAGCAGGATAGGAAGCGGGGCTGCTGGGATTAGAACCAGCACCCATATGGGATCCCAGCACATGCAAGGTGAGGATTTTAGCAGCTAGGCTACAGAGTTGGGCACTTGGTGACTTTTCTAAGTCTCTACCAATGTTTATCTCTCGTAGAGTGCTTCTTAGTTTTTCCCTAATGGTTTGATGGTTTCTGGGTGCAGATTTAGGTCCTTGGTCCACTTGGAGCTTATCTGTGTATAAACCATAAAGTGGAGGTCTTGTTTCTTACCTCTGTAAGCGGGTATCCAACAGTCCCAAGAGCATCTGTTGACAAGCTCAGACTTTTTCCTGTGGATTTTTCTGTTTTTCTGTCAAAGATTAACTGACTGTGTATGTGTGGGTTCTCTTCTTCGGTTTCTATTCTGCTTCACTGGCCTTCTGCTTTTGTAAAAGTATTATACTGTTTCAAAGCCGAATTTTTCAAACACATTAAGAATTTTTCCTTTGGTTCATGATCTTTTTATGCTTCTCCAGTACTTTTTTTTAGCCATATCTCCTGACATTTTAGTTTCTAAATAACTGCATGTAACATAATGGCAAAAAAAAAAAAAAGAGATTCTAGCATCAGGCCTGACCTGACAAGACATGACCTTTCCAAGCGTGTTGTTTTCTCCAGTTGACTGCAGAATTGTAAAGAAGCAGCACACACCAGCTGACTTAGAAGGACATGAACATCTGTGTTGATCGCCTCTGGGGGCCACTGTACGCAGCCTCTAGGGAGCCAGAGCAGATTCTGGCCAGAAATTAAGGCAAAATGGGACACAACTGTAAGAAAATGCATTCCACCAGTCAGTGAACCTCAAAGAGAAACTTGAGCCTCAGATGAG